TATACCATTTAACTCCTGGTGCTCTAATTTTACTCGTTAAGGAAGATAAAATAGTTTAAAAAATGAAAAGACTCATTTCATATTTTAATCTCTTTATATTTTTGTTTATTTAGTATTTTATTTTTCCTCAATTACATATGAAAACAATTTTAACATATGCTTTTAAAATTTTGAGTTTCAAATTCTCTCCCTCCCTTCCCAGCCTCCTCATTGAGAAGGCAAGCAATTTGATATAGGTTATACATGTGTAGTCAGGCAAAACATATTTCCATATTAGTTATGTTATAAAAGAAAACATAGAACTGCCCCCCAAAAAGTTTAAAAAATGCTTTGATCTATATTCAGACTCCAACAGTTCTTTCTCTGATGATGGATAGCATTTTTCATCAGAATCGTCTTAGATGATTGTATTGCTGAGAATAGCTAGATCATTCGCAATTGATCATTTTATAATATTGTTGTTGCTGTATACAGTGTTCTCTTGATTGTACTCATTTCACTTTGCACTAGCTCATATAAGTCTTTCCAGGTCTTTCTGAGAACATCCTGCTTATTTCTTATAGTGCAATAGTATTCCATCACAATCATATACTACAACTTGTTCAGCCATTCCCCAATTGATGGGCATCCCCTCACTTTTCAATTCTTAGCCACCACAAAAGAGCTGCTACAACTGTCTTTGGACACATAGTTCCTTTTCCTTTATGTTTTTTCTCTCTTTAGGGATACAGACCTAGTAGTGTATGCACAGTTTTATAGCCCTTTGGACATAGTTCCAAATTGCTCTTCAGAATGGTTGAATCAGTTCATAACTTCACCAATAGTGTATTAGTGTCTCAGTTTTCCCACATTCTCTCCAACACTGGTCATTTTCCTGTTCTGTCCTATTAGCTAATCTAATAGGTATGAGGTAGTACCTCATTATATCTGTTATATTGATCTTGTTGGAAAAGGTTAAGGAAAGGTGGAGGTTGTCAATATAAGTATATGTAAATGTCTGAGTTAAGTAGGCAAAGATTGACAACCTATGGATGAATGTGAGTAGATAAACATTATATATGTATTGCTGTCTGTTTGTTGTTCTTGACAGCAGATAATGTTTTTTACATTTCTCAGTAGTGATTTGGAGTCCTTTTTTTTCATATGGCTATAAATAGCTTTGATTACTTCATTTGAAGACTGATTTTCATATCTTTTGATCATTTATCAATTGGGAAATTGCTCTTACTTTTATAAATTTGACCTAGTTCTCTATATATTTGAGAAACGAGGCCTTTATCAGAGAAACTTGCTTCAAAAATTTTTTCAGTCATGATTGCTGACTGTATTTCCCTCCATCCTATTACCCTCCTGTTTATTCTATTCTCTCTCTCCTTTCACCCTGTCCTTCCTCAAAAGTGTTTTGCTTCTGACTACCTCCTCCCCCAACTTGCCCTCCCTTCTATTAGTACCCTCCCTTCTCTAATCCACTTCCCCTCCTACTTTCACAAGCTATAATAATTTCATATAGAAGTTTAACCAATATAAATCAATTGTCATAGCAAAGAAACAAAAAGAGCCTAAGATAAACCTTAATCAACAGATATATCAGGCAGAAATATATCATAGCCGGGGCAGCTAGGTGGCACAGTGGATAGAGCACCAGCCCTGAAGTCAGGAGGACCTGAGTTCAAATCTGGCCTCAGATCAAACACTTGACTAGCTATGTGACCTTGGGCAAGTCACTTAACCCCGCTTGCCTCACAAAAAAAAAAAAAAAAAGAAATATATCATAGCCAAAGGAAGTACCAGTTAATGATATGAAATCATTTGTAAAATCATACTGAAAAAGATAGATGGAATATTAACAGCAGTATCACCTCATAAAAAGGTAAAAGCAGTAAAGGTGAAAAGTAAAACCAGGTTTAAAAAGTTTCTCAAGAGACCCCATTCAGGAAGGTCATTTTAAAGACATTTGAACATGACGAAGGAGAACATAAAATAGGAAAAAAATGGGAAGCTCTATCACACACACACACACACACACACACACACACACATCCATACATGCATACATACATATCACAAAAGCCATTTCCACCGTCAGAGACCTAAGTTGAAGGGGGATTCCCTTCTGTTAGCCCCCCTTCTACTAGCACCCTCCCTTCTCTAATCCACTTCCCCTCCTACTTTCCTGTAGGGTAAGATAGATTTCTATACCCAATTGAGTATACATGTTTTTCCCTCTTTGAGATGATTCTTATGACAGTAAGGTTCAAACCTTCCCCATCTTCCCCTCCACTATAAAAAAAAAAACCAACTCTTTCTTGCCTCTTTTATGTGAGATAATTACCCCATTCTACCTCTCCCTTTCACTTGCTCCCAATTGATTCCTCTGTCTCACCCCTTCATTTTATTTTTTTTAGATATCATCCCATCATATTCAACTCACTTCTGTGCCCTCTATGTGTACTTCTTCTAACTGTCCTAATGATAATAAAGTTCTTAGGAATTACACGCATCATCTTTCCATGTATGAATGTAAACAGTTTAACCTTATTAAGTCCCTTTTAATTTCCCTTTCCCATTTACCTTTTTATGTTTCTCCTGAGTCTTGTATTTGAAAGTCAAATTTTCTACTCAGCTCTGGGCTTTTCATCAGGAGTGCTTACAAGTCCTCTATTTCATTGAATATCCATTTTACCCCTGAATGATTATACTCAGTTTTGCTTGGTGGGTGATTCTTGATTGTAATCCCAGCTCCTTTGCCCTTTGGAATATCAGATTCTAAGCACTCTGATGCTTTGATATAGAAATCATTAAATCTTGTGTTATCCTGACTGTGGCTCCATGATACTTAAATTGTTTCTTTCAGGCTGCTTGCAATATTTTCTCCTTGACTTGAGAGCTCTGGAATTTGTCTCTAGTTTTCATTTTGGGATCTTTTTCAGGAGGTGATCAGTGGATTCTTTCAATTTCTATTTTACCCTCTGGTTCTAGAATATCAAGGCAGTTTTCCTTGATATTTCTTGAAAGATGATTTCTAGGCTCTTTTTCTGATAATGGCTTTCAGGTACTCCAATAATTTTTAAATTATCTTTCCTCGATCTATTCTCCAGTTCAATTGTTTTTCTAATGAGATATTTCACATTGCCTTGTATCTTTTCATTCTTTTGGTTTTGTTTTACTGTTTCTTGATGTCTCATAAAGTCATTAGCTTCCACTTCCTCAATTCTCATTTTTAAAGAATTATTTTCTTCAGTGAACTTTTGTATCTCCTTTTCAATTTGGCCAATTCTAGTTTTTGGCTTTCTTTTTTTTTGTTTTTATTTTTTAGGCAATTGGGATTAAGTGACTTACCCAGGGTTACACAGCTAGTAAGTGTGAAGTGTTTGTTTTTAGGCCAGATTTGAACCCAAGTCCTCCTGACTTCAGGGCCGGTGCTCTATCCACTGCTCCACCTAGTTGCCCTGCCAATTCTACTTTTTAAGGAGTTCTCTTCAGTGAATTTTTTTGCCTCTTTTTCCATTTGGCCAATTTTGCTTTTCAAGGTGTTCTCCTCCTTGGATTTTTGTACCACTTTTACCGTTTGGCCTATTCTGTTTTTTAAGGTGTTATTTTCTGCGGTATTTTTTGTGACTCCTTTACCAAGTTGTTGACTCTTTTTTCATGATTTTCCTGCATAGCTCTCATTTCTCTTTCCAATTTTTCCTTTACCTCTCCTATTTGATTTTTAAATTCTTTTTTAAGTTCTTCCATGGCCTGAAAGCAATTCATATTTTTCTTTGAGGCTTCAGATGTGGGAGTTTTGACTTTGCCTTCTTCTGAGTATATGTTTTGATCTTTCTTGTCACCATAGTAACTTTCTATAGTCAGTTTTTTTTCTGTTGTTTGCTCATTTTTTTAGCCTGTCTCTTGATTTTTAGCTCTTTGTTAAAGTGGGGCTTTGCTTTCCGGGTGGAGGGCTCACTATCCCAAAATTTATGGGTTTTATGCAGCTGTTTTCAGAGATATTTCTGGGGATCTGTAGGTTTTCTGTTCTTCCAAGGGAGTATGATCTAAGGATAGGTGTGTTTACTACTCTCGTGGCCTGTATTCTGGTCTGAGAGTGACCACAAGCACTCTTTTCTTCCTTGGAACTATGACAAGGGACCTTGCTCCCCTGCAGCTACAAGCTCTGGTGTGCTACTGCTCCTCCTCACCTACAGACTGTCACTCAGGACTGTTACCTGAACTGAGTATGGACAAACCAACAGAGTCCTGCCCCTTAGTGCCAGCAAAGAAACTCCTGTCATCTCCTTTTGACCAGTTCTTCGACTGTGGGCTGAGAGCTCCAGAAGCAGTGACTGCCACTGCTGATTCAGTTGCTTCCAAGGCCTGCTCCTAGTTTGCTGGGGCCCAGTCTATGGGCCCTGCATTAAACTGTACTCTACTCTCACCCTGGTATGACAGACCTTCTAAGTTGTCTTTGGCTTGAAAATTTTTTCACCCCATCCTTTTGTTGGTTTCTGATGCTCCAGAATTTATTTTAAGGCATTATTTAAAGGTGTTTGGAGGGGTTTAGGGGAGAGCTCAGGTGAATCCTTGCCTTTTGTCTGCTATTTAGCTCTTTAAAATTTCTCATTTCATATTTTTATGCAATAGCTTCCTCACTTGTGAAGGCATTCAGTGTCATTATGTCACTGTAATATGTCTATGTAAAAATAGCTTCATACTGTAGAAAAGAGAAATGAGACTCCACTAAAAACTCACAACTGGCTTTCTTTCTGGCTATAGAGACTTTTGACTCCAAACAAGTATCCATTTAACCCAGTTTTGCAAACTAAGATGCGGATGGAGGACCTTCCTTCTACATATGGTAGAGGGCATTAGTTCAAGCTTCTAAAGGGGAGGGGCAGGACTAGGAGGAGTTTGGGGCATTTTTTTTTATTTTAGTTACTTGAATGAATCCCTATGCTTTCCTTTCTAGATTTTGTTAACTTTTAGGTAAACTCATCGTATTATTTCATCTTTTATTTTAGATTCATTTGCACTGAAGATGAAATGTGGTTTAACTCACAAATTGTTCGAGTAATTGATGAACATGTTGACGAAGATGTAGCATCACTCCTTCTTCCAGAACCATACTTTGTAGATTTTCTTCGTGACATGCCTGAACCAACTGGTGTTGAACCTGAAGATGCTGTATTTGAAGTACCCAAAATCTATGAATTGGTACTTATCAGTATTTCAGAACGTTATTTTAGGTCATCTACATACCCATAGGCATTTCTCTACTTTCCAAGTTATTACAAGTCTTTCAGTTAAAATATATAAGGGATTTGATCCCCCTTATACTTGGGGAGGGATATAGATATCAAAATAGACACCAGTTTTACTCTTCATTTTGAATAAATGTCACTAACCCTAAGTGATCAGACATGGGGTTGTTTTCAAGTGTATTTTGTTTAGACCTATATTCTTAAAAGATGATATAGGACAACTAGTCATGTTCATAGTGATGGGGCTTCCAGGAAAGGTCAGAGAACTCTGACCATACCAAATTTTCATTTCATGATTTAAAAATAACAATGAAAAGACAAAGAAAATAATGCTCCAGAAGTCCAAGAGAGATTTCCCCCCTATAATTGTAGGGGGGAATTGTTTTTAGGTTTGTTGATGCTATAAATTTTTGGATCTAATAATACTTCTTTTCTCTTCCCCATTTTTTCCTTTCCACTCCCCCCTTCTCAGATACCAAGTTTCGAATTTCTGGCTGAAAAACTAATATTTTATCAGAGACAGTTCAATGAACTTATTAGAGGAACAAGTCTTGATTTGGTGTTTTTCAAAGATGCAATGATTCATCTTATGAAGGTTATGTCAAGATTATTTACTGATATGATCATGATAGTCCAGAACTAAATTTCATAAACAATTTAGTATTCTGGGTATCAGATACTTTATAATGGTGGGGCAGGGTGGAGGTTGGAGTAGGGAGGAGAACAGAATAGACTGCACCTGTTACAACTTGAATCAAATGTTGTGGCTAAAATAATTTTTTTTTTGCATCCATCCATATAGCACTACTGGGATAAAAAAGTCAGAATTGAATTGTTTTTGTACTTGGATCCTTCTATACTTCAATTTTTAAGGATGTTATTCACATATTACTGAGGTTGCAGAAGGTTCTTCATGTAAAGAAATGTCCCATCCATGCATTATATTGGGCAATTGTTCTAATTTTTCCTGTATATGAAATTATAAAATATAAATGTAAAATAGATAACTATGTGATAATATCAAATAGTCGGATACTGGTAGGTGGGTCAAGGATGGAATGAGAAAGAAAACCAAAGAAAGAGAATCAGAGTGATCATTTGAACCACAGTTGAAGAAATTTGATGAGGAAAATAGAAAGGAATATATTAGCTGATCACAGACTCTCATAGAATTTTAGAGTTGGAAGGAACCTTGGTGATTATCTAGTCTAATCCTTTCATTTTAGAGAGGATAAAACAGACCTGGAGAGAGGTGACTCATTCAAATTGGTGATAGAACAAGATAAAGCCTAAGTCCCTAAGATCAAAATGAGGGTTGGATTGCCTGGGAAATCAAAGGTGGAAAAGGAGTAGGAATGGGGACAGTTCAGATGCATGGAGAAAAGAATGGTTTAAATTGAAGATTGAGTCACTCAGGACTGTACCATTCTTCATTCTTGCCTTTTATATTCAATCTGCACTATAAAGACCTTCTTTTTGTTTAACACAGAGAAGCTTCTTGTTGACCAGGATTTTTTTTTTTTAACATTCCCCCTTCTAGGATTCTACCCCAGGTCCCTAGACCAAGATGGAGTAGGAAATTTTCATGAGCTCAACAGGGCTTATAGATTGTGAATAACCTGTTTTTTTTTCTAATCTTTAGTTCCTCCAATCCACAAAATAATGTGGAAGGATTCAAAACTGGTTTTGGAGTCTGAAAAAACATAGATGTGATTTTTAGCCCTGCTATTGCCACCAAAATGATATTAAGCAAATATCTTAATTTCTAATAGGCCCCAATTTTCTTGTCTTTAAAATGATGAGATTAGACCTTTAAAAATTCCCTTACAACTCTAAATTCTATTATCCTCTTCACCACAATCAGTTCCTATCTATTGGTTTGGTGATCACTGAGGGTGGAGCAAGGATTTAATACACATATGTACAGACTAAATTGTGCTTACTACAGAAAGGATATAGGGGTAAATAGATTTTGAGACTGGTGGTTTCACGAAAAAAACTGTAGCTTTCCTTTCACTTCTGTGAAAGGAATGGACCAACTGCCCAATCTGAAATCTCATTAAAGGGCCATTCTGAGTGGAGGCTCTTGATGAAAAGTCAGTTATGATTCCTAACCTATATGGGCTCCCCTTGGGGGCTCACTACCTATCATTGTCTTTAGTGACCCACAGAAAATGTTCCAAATTGACTTTGATACTCTTCAATCTCTCTGGTACACAGGACCATATAGCAGATTGTTGTCTGGAAAAAAGCTAAAACAGATTATTTTGTGCAGAGGAGTGATGATCTGATCTTATTTAATCTTCACAATAAACCTGTAAGTTAGGTACTGCTGCTAGCATTATCCTCACTTTACAGTTAAGGAAACTTGATCTCACAGAAGATGTGTCTATGGACACTTGGCTAGTAAGAGTCAGAAGTGCTATTTGAACACAGGTTCTCCTGATCCAGCATTGTTGTCTCCACTGCCCACCTCTGGACGTGGGCCTAGTGTCTCCTTGCACAGGAATACAACCTGTCCCTGGAAATGAGTTGTTTATGTTGAGGTCTGATCCAACTGCTGCTTCAGAGTCGAGTTCCAGGCCTACAGCTCTTCCAGCTCCTTATGAGTGGGCCAAACAGCAGCATCTAGGATCCCTACTGGCCACGGGCAATTAGGGAGTGACTCAAGAACATTGCCCTCACAGGAGAGAAAAAGGTGCAGGGCTAGGGGATCCAAGATACGGTCAATTTGTCAGGGAAACTGCCAAGAAATGAGGCACGGGAAGAAGCAGGAATGTAAATGAATGGGACGTACACTGACATGTAGGGTCGTTGAGCACCAGATTGCCTTGTTGCTATTTATGATGGGGGCTACATGCCGATCTGACTAAACTTGCTTGAAAGTGGCAGCTGCTTATTACTGAGGGTCCTACATGGTCAGCATAAAAGTAAAATCTAGGAGCTGCTATCAAACTGATAAGATTTTATATATTATGGGGTAGACTTAGTATAATAGAAAGAGCACTGGATTTTGATTCAGAAGACTTGGGTTTGAATCCCCAGTCTTCTTTATTGAAGAGGTTTGCATTGTGTGATGTTTAAATTTAAAATGCAGTACCTCTTAGCTCCATCCATTAACTAGTTGATTAAGAATCCTAAGTCATGAAACTATACTTATTTAACTTTTCTTGCTGTCTCAACCAAATTGAGTTTAGCATGATTGAAAACTGGTGGGGGGTGGGGGGTGGTTTGTTTTCTGAAGAGGAGGGAGATAGGAAAGGGGTTGGGTAAGTATTTGAATTTTTATCAAGTTTGAAACAGAATATTTGGTGGCATTTTAATATTCTCAAAACAAATTACAGTACTGTACATGTAAGCCATTGGCCATTTTGGTGTAAAGATGTTTTTAGACTCTTTTAATGCATTTTCAAATGAATACTATATTGCGTCAACACAGATTTCACGCATAATTCGGACATCATGTGGAAATGCCCTGCTTGTAGGTGTTGGTGGTTCAGGAAAACAGAGTCTTTCAAGATTGGCCTCCTTTATAGCTGGATATCGAATATTCCAGATAACTCTGACTAGGTAAGAGGTATTAAGATGATGTAATAGACAGAGAGAGAGAAAGAGAGAGAGAGAGAGAGAGAGAGAGAGAGAGAGAGAGAGAGAGACTTTCTTTGGAATTAAATGTTTGCATTTTCAAGAAATAATTATGCAAACTCATTTCTTGTTCAATCTAATTTTCCCCACAAAAATGGGGGGAACATTATTATAAAACATAGATAAATGTGTTTAAAATGCCTCTTTGGATTTTCTTTTTTTATTATGAAATTGATAAATATCAACAAACATGATCTGATTTCATGAAGAAATTTTAAAAGGGAAGTAAACTTTTGCTCTTTATGGTTTCCCTCTCCCCACTATTTACAGCTTGTTGGGTTTTAAAAAATATAGTTCAAATTCGACATCATAGTTTCAGCACTGCCAATTAGTCTATGTCGCCTTCTGAACTTCTTTTGCTCTCTTCTGTTTATTTTTAATGATTCATTGGCAATATTTTCTTCATTTTCTTCCGTTTTTTTCAGTATCACTATCTCCCACTAGCTCTCTGGCCATTGTGGTCATCATAGGTCTTAAGTCTTTTGTAGCTGTTTTTCTTTATACTATTGAAGTCATTATGTAAATTGTATTTCTAGTTCTCTTTACTTCACTCTTACTTCAATTCATCAAAGTCTTCTCAAGTTTCTTTGAATCCATCTCTTTGGGTCACTTCTTAAAGAGTAATAATATACCATTACATTCATATGCCATAATCAATTTGGTAATTCCTGAATTAATCATAATGATAATAATAGTAATCATAATAGCATTTACTAGTCAGGCACTTTATAAATGTTATCTTTTTTATTTTATTTTATTTTTTTAACATGTGTTTTTAAAACTTTGGGTTACAAATTTTCTTCCTTCCTCCCTCCCTCCCCACCCACCCTCATTGAAAAGGCAAGCATCTCAATACAGGTTATAGATGTGTAGTCATGCTAAACACTTCCATAGGAGTTCTGTTGTGAAAAACTAAGTATATTTCCCTTCATCCTATCCTACCCCCCATTTATTCTATTATCTTTTTTGACCCTGTCCCTCCTCAGAAGTGTTTGCTTTTGATTATCCCCTCCCCCAATCTGCCCTCCCCTCTATCAACCCTCTGCTCTCTTGTCCCCTTCCCCCCTTATTTCCTGTAGGGTAAGATAGATTTCCATACCCCATTGTGTATGTTATTCCCTCCTTAAGCCAAATCCTATGAGAATAAGATTCACTCATTCCCTCTCACCTTTCCCCATTTCCCCTCCACTGTAAAAGCCTTTTCTTGTCTGTTTCATGTGAGATATTTTACCTCCCTCTACTTCTCCCTTTCTCCTTCTCCCAGTATAATCTTCTCTCACCCCTTAATTTTATTTTCCAGATATCACCCCTTCAACTTCCACTCACCCTGTGCCCTCTATCTATCTATACATACATATAATTATTTTCCCTCCCACTACCCTAATACTGACAGAGGACTCATGAATTACAAATACCATCTTTCCCTGCAGGAATGTAAACAGTTCAACCTTAATAAATTTCTTATGATTTCTCTTTCCTGTTTGCCTCTTCCATGTTTCACTTGAGTCTTGTATTTGAAGGTCAAATTTCGTATTCAGCTCTGGTCTTTTCCACAGTGCTTAAAAGTCCTCTATTTCATTGAATGATCATTTTTTCCCCTGAAGGATTATACTCAGTTTTGCTGGGTAGGTGATTCTAGGTTGTAGTCCTATCTCCTTTGCCCTCCAGAATATCATACTCCATGCCCTCCGGACCCTTAATGTAGAAGCTGCTAAATCTTGTGTTATCCTGATTGTGTTTCCACAATACTTGAATTGTTTCCTTCTGGCTGCTTGCAATATTTTCTCCTTGACCTGGGGATTCTGGAATTTGGCTACAATATTCCTAGGGGTTTTCCTTTGGGGATCTCTTTCAGGAGGTGATCAGTGGATTCTTTCCATTTCTATCTTGCCCTCTGGTTCTAAAATATCCGGGCAGGTTTCCTTAATAATTTCTTGAAAGATGACGTCTAAGCTCTTTTTTTGATCATGGCTTTCAGATAGTCCAATAATTTTTAAGTTCTCTCTCCTGGATCTATTTTCCAGGTCAGTTGTTTTTCCAATAAGATATTTCACATTCTCTTCTATTTTTTCATTCCTTTTGATTAGTGTTACAGTGCCTTGATTTCTCAAATTGTCCCTATCTTCCAATTTCTCCATTCTAATTTTTAAGGAAGAATTTTCTTTAGTAAGCTTTTGGACTTCCTTTTCCATTTGGCCAATTTTTGTTTTTAGGGCATTCTTCTTCTCTTTGGTTTTTTGGACCTCTTTTGCCATTTGGGTTAGGCTATTTTTTAAGGTGTTATTTTCTTCAGTATTTTTTTGGGTCTCCTTTAGCATCAATCTCAGTTTTTTCTCTACTTCTCTTACTTGCTTCTCAAAATCCCTTTTGAGCTGTTCCATGGCCTGGGACCAATTCACATTTTTCTTGGAGGCTTTGGATGTAGGAGCTTTGGCTTCATTGTCTTTTTCTGGTTATATGTTTTGTTCTTCTTTGTCACCAAAGTAAGATAACGTAGTCTGACTCTTTTTGCACTGCTTGCTCATGATCTCAGCCAATTACTTGAGTTATAAACTCTTTGTTAAGGTAGGAGTCTGTTTCCAGTGTGGAGAATGTACTGTCCCAAGCTTCAGGGGTTTTGTGCAGCTGTTTTCAGAGATACTTCTAGGGACCTGTAAATTTTCAGTTCTTCCAAGGTGCTATGATCAAGGGTGAGGTGTTTACTCCTTTGCTGGACTGTGCTATGGTCTATGAGTACTCTTTTTTGTCTTGGAACTGTGAGGAGGGTTTCCTCTCCACAGCCACTACAAGCTCCACCACACCAGCGCTCCTCTTTGTCCCAGGACCACAACCCAGAACTGTGACCCAGATCCAAGCATGGGCAAAGCAAGAGATTCCTGCCTCAGCACAGGCAAAGAGATCCCTGCAATCCCCTTCTAGTCAGTCACTCGATTCCCCCTCAGTCTGTGGGCTGGAAGCTCAGGAGGCAGCCGGGGCCCACGCTTGGGACTTGCGGCTGAGACCTAGCTTCTCTCTCACCGAAGTCACAGACTTTTCCCACTGACCTTCTAAGTTGTCTTTGGCATTCATGGGTTGAGAAGTCTGGAAACTGCCATAGCTTCCCATGATTCAGTACTCTGAGGCCTGCTGCAGGGTCGCTGCAGCCTGCACATCCACACCAAACTGCGTTCCTCTCCCCACCCAGCGCAATATGCATTTCTAATCAACCATCCAAGCTGTCTTTGGCTGGAAATTTGTTTCATTCTGTCTTTTTGTGAGTTCTGCTGCTTTAGAATTTGTTTAGAGCCATTTTTTATAGGTGTTTGGGGGAGAACTCAAGCAAATCACTCCTTTTACTCAGCCATCTTGGCTCCGCCCTCTATAAATGTTATCTCATTTGATCTCACAACAACCCTGGGAGAAAGATGCTATTATTATCCCCATTTTACAAATGAGGAAACTGAGACAAATAGTGGTTAAGTGACTTGCCCAAGGTCACACAACTAGTAGGAAGTGTCTGAGGCTGATTTTGAACTCAAGTCTTCCTGACTCCAGGCTCAAGCACCCTATCTACTATGCTACCTAGCTCAATTAATAGGTATATGCTTTGTTTCTAGTTCTTTGGCATGAAAAAAATACTACTGTAAAAAATTTTGTACCTATGAGTCCTTTCCTTTTTAAAAATTTCTTTGGTATATAGGGCTCAAAGCATATGCACAGCTGAATAACTCTTGGCAAGTAATTCCAAATTCTTACTAGATGACAGATAACTTCAAAGCTCCACCAGCAGTATATTAGCGTGCTTCTTCTCCCAGAGCCCTCCAACAACTGTCACTTTCCTTTTTTGTTCTGTTGCTAATCTAATGAGTATGAGGTAGAACCTTAGATTTATTTTAATTTATATTTCTTTTATTACTAGTTATTTGGAACATTTTTTTCATATGGTTGTTAGCTTGCCTTTCTCCTTTTGAGAATTGAGAGTTCATATCCTTTGCCCATCTATCCACTTGGCAATGGCTTTTGGACTTAGCTATTAATATCACTTTTCTATAGCTTTTGGAAAGATCTTATCATGGAAATTTGCTGTAAAGATTTTCCCCCTGGTTGACTGTTTCTCTTTCTAATTCTATAACTGAACTGATTTGTTTGAGTAAAGCTAAGAACTTCTTTGCTAAGCCCTGTCTGGACTAAAAATTCCTTTCTATACAACATTCAATATTCAAGTCTCAGTTCTGACAGATTACCACCATTCAGGAAATTGATATAATTATATTTCTCATATCCCAATTCTTAAAAATATCTATTCTTTTGGGTATTTGATTTCCAACAATTTTTTTTTACATTTGTGATCACAGCTATATTTTCTTTGTTTTCTAACTGCCATTGTCATTTGGTGCATGTAGTAGGCTATTAAAAATATTTTAAAACTGAGTGAGAAGGATTGGTATGAGTCATAGCCCTCAATAGGTTTGTGTTATGCATGTATACCATGATTCTGTTTGGAGCTGATTTTAAATTTCTTACTACTTATCCTTTTAGGTCCTATAATGTGTCCAATCTGACAGATGACTTGAAGGGATTGTACCATGTTGCTGGAGCTGAAGGAAAAGGAATCACATTTATCTTTACTGACAATGAAATAAAAGATGAGGCATTTCTGGAATATCTTAACAACTTGCTATCTTCAGGAGAGGTAGAATCCTGAAGTAATAAACAAGGATATCTTTTCTATTGAAAAATAATATTTGAAAGGGAAAACAGGTTTTTAGAAATACGCTTCCTGAGTCCTACTTGTTAATTCTGATGTATACTAGAGTAAATCTAACAAATTTGTATTTTTTTAAAGAAATGAAAGTTCACATTTATGTGAACTTGCTCCTGTCCAAGTGCAGTGTTCTACATGTTCTATTTCCTTACCCAGCTCCCTATACTTGGATCCATTTCTCAGATGGCTCTGGAACCTATCTCCTAACATGATTCTGTAATTCATTTGACTCTTTCTGTACTCAGAGGCGAAATATCATCAGCATCGGTTATCCAATGTTCTAAAAAATACTGTATTTGAGAATAAAAAAAGCAAGAATATGAGATTCATGTTTACCAAATGGCAGCATTTGTAGAACTAAATTTTAAACAGATGCTTTTAGCTTTGGTGCCATGTTAGAAAATGTGTTTCCTTGGGTGTTTTACACAACAAAACCACTGTATAGAAGAGCCTTGTTAAAAGGTTTAAAAGATTGGTGTTAGGGAATAGAATGACTGCCTGGCTTAATTAGAAGCAGTATGTACTTAATTATCCTCATTGGGCTATGTTTCATTTTAAGTTTTTAACATGACTGGCTTGGAAGAGGAGGGTGGAAGATTATTTTAGCCACAGCCATTTTAATTAACTGGTAAGAAATAAAGTCTTTGAAGGCTTAGTAGAAAGGCATGTAGTATAGATTGAAGATGACCCATAGGCCAGGTACTCAATTGTGGAAACAAATGGTAAGAAAGATTCTAGAGGTAAATACTAGATAGAAGGGGAAAATGCAAAATTTAGCAGTATATTGGATTTAGGAAAAAAAGTTTAATGTTGAGTACTTTCTTGTTACTTCCTCAAAGATCTCTAATTTATTTGCTCGGGATGAGTTGGATGAGATTACTCAAGGACTAGTAGCAGTGATGAAAAAGGAAATGCCTCGTCACCCTCCTACCTTTGATAATCTTTATGAGTATTTCATAGCACGATCACGGAAGAATTTGCATGTTGTTCTCTGCTTTTCTCCAGTGAGTTTTTCTTTTCTGTATCTGTATGTTTCCATATATGCAAATGTGAATATATATTCATATAATATATATGTAGTTATCCATGTACATATGTAAATATAATATTCTCTCTAGCAAGATCACTCAGTTCTTGAGGTAAGGGAAGCAAACTCTTCACTAAATTCCTTGTTTTTTATCTCACCAAAATCATGTGTTCTATATTTTAATTCAGTAAGCTGATAATAAGAGGTAACAGTGATATATTAGATAGATAGTCAGCCTTAGAATCAGATAACTCAGATACTTCTTAACTTCATGTTCATGGGCAATTCACTTAATGTTTCAGTGTCCCCAGTCTTTAAGACTATAAAGTATAGATATATTACTCTGAATTGGGGAAAGGCCTTTATTTTTATAAATTTGGCTCAGTTCCCTGTGTATTCGTGGTGGCCAGATGATTCAGTGGATCCCTACAAAGTCCCAGAAAAAGCCCCATGGTAATTATAGAAATAAAAAAAGGGAGGAGGAGTGATATTATTACATTACATATGCCATCACAGTTTAGCTAATGTTTTGATTTACTGCTTAGTACTGGGCTTGAGCCCAGAGCCCCAGGCGTCAAGGCCAGTAGTGTTGGGTAGGTAGGTGTTCAGACACACAAGCTCATGAACTGGTCACTGTATCCTTGTTAAGGCTTTTGCTATATGGCTTTCACCAATAGGGACCCCACACCCTCTATTCTTGGCTACATAGGTTTTAATTATACAAGAAAATTTTAATTTAAAATAATCAAAATTATACATTTTTTACTTCAATGCTGCCCTTACCTTATAATGTGGTTTAAGGTCTGATACTACTGAATCTAGTTCCTTCACATATTTTTCTCCTGGTTTCTTTGAAGTTTCTGACCCTCTACTCTCCTAAATGAACCTTGTTATTATTTTTTCTGACTCAGTAAGATAGTTTTTCTTTTAGTAATTTAATTGGGATCACATGACATAAATAGATTACTTAGGTAACATAATAAATCCTACTCCTGATCTTTATTTTATGTTTGTGTATATCTCTCATTTTTGTGGCATTTCCTGAAAGCAACATATTGTTGCATTCAAACCTTTAATCTTCTATCAGTTTCCATTTTATGGGTAAATTCATCTAATTCACATTCTAAATTATAATTACTTGTTGTGTATTTTCCTTCTTCCTATTTTCCTCACTATCCTTCTCACCTTATTGCTATCTTGCTTGCTCCTCTGCTTTACTTCCACTTGCTAACTTGCTCTCCTATTCTTTAACCTCCCTCCCTCCAAGAATCTCTCCCTTATCCTCTCCCTCCACTCTTATCCCCTTACCCTTTTGTTTGTTTCTGAATTTAGACGATTTTTATACCCTTTTAAATATATATGTTGTTCCCTCTTTAGCCCTTCTTGTTCTAACACTTCAGGACAATTTAATTACTTCTTGTATTATTGTATCAAAATTCCTTTTTTGATAGTAGCTTTCAGGTAGTCCAATTATTCTTATGTTTTCTCTTCTTGATCTGTTCTCCAGATCAATTGTTTTTCTTATAAGATGTTTCATATCATCTTCTATTTTTTCATTCTTTTGAATGTTTTATTATTTCTTGATATCTTATAATGTCATTCATTTCCCCTTGCCCAATTCTAATTTTCAAGGAGTCATTTTCTTCCATAAGATTCTGGATCTCCTTTTCCAGTTGGTTGACTTTCTTTTCATAATTTTCTTATTATTCTTTGATTGTTCTTATTTTAAATTTTTTCCTCAATTTCTTTAATTTGATTTAGAAAGTCTTTTTTGAGTTCTTCTATGAATTCTTTTGGGGCCAGTGACCATTTAATATTACTCTTGGGTGTAGGAGATGCTTTTTTTTTTGCTTCAGTATCACGCTCTGAAGATGAACCCAGGTTTTCTCTATTCTCATAGGAATATTCTCATATTTCTCTATTCCCATAGGAACTGTCCTTTGCCTGCTCTTTTTAATTTTTAGCAGCTTGTTATTATAATCACCTCTAATCCTGGGGTGTGGGGCATGGTGCCTCTGGTCTCAGGTCCTTCTTATTATTTGAGCTTTGTCCTGGGCCCAACCTCTATACTTCCCCTCCAAGCCACAGCTAGGGCCCTAGCCACACTATGCTGGAAATACTTTTGCTCCCTTAGAACCCTGCAGTGGCTGTAGCCTTTAGTTCTCCTCCCTGGTCTAGAACCGGAACCAAGACCTCAGCTCTTCTGTAAGTGACCACAGCCAGCAGCATCCCTGTCCCGCTGCTTCTGCACTCACCAGGAGTGTGCTGGTTTTTTCTCACCCAAGACCACACTGCTGGCAGCACAGCTACACCTGGTGTCCCTTGTCAGCAGAAGTTCCCTCAGTCTTCCCTTCTCAGATGCCAGACTCCCCACACTGTCCAGGAGGTGAAAATTCCTATGGCTGAGGTTGAGGCTACCTTCCAGCCCAGGGCTTGCCACTTGCTGTTTCAGCAGAGCTAGCCTGGGATGTTTACCCTTAACTCTGGCCAAACCTCCATCCTGGGATGTTTCTTTAGATCTTCTCCAGTTGTCCCAGGAGGATCACTGTTCTGCCCCAGTTCTTGTTTATTTTTGTCACTCTACATTCACCCTGAAGTACTATTTTGTCCATTTCATTTACTTTGCATACATCCCATATTCACCTATCTGCATTCACATTTTATTAGCCCAATAGAATATAAGATCCTTGAGGGCAGGGACTTTCTCACTGTATCCCCCAGCACCTTGCACAGTGATTGGAACATAGAAGATACTTAATAAATGCTTGTTGAATGGGATTAACTTGATCAGTGGAGGGAGTGTCTACAATGGGAGTCCTTACACACAGATGCACTCATGAGTCCAGATCCCACCCCACAAAAATTTAATAAAAAAGGAGTCATAACATAGCAAGATACACTGTAGATGATTTGCCTCGAGCATTTAACTTACCTACAATCACTGAATCCAAAGAATTAGAAAGCTCATAGAAGGCATTGGCTTAACCTTCCACCCAAGGCAGGAATTAAATATCCTCTACAACATCCTTGGGAAGTGTTTCCTAGGGGGGAAAAAAACATTATTTTGTACAGTGCTTTTATCAAAAGACAGAAACTTCTATTAGTGTTAAATGACATCCACTGACTCCACATGCTGTGCTGTAGAATTACACAGGACAGGGATAGGGAAAGGACCTATGATTTCTTTGGTATAAATACCTCCCAAAGGAAGAAACTCCCTCTACCAATTCAGACTAACAACTTCTGTGCATCTTGGAGTCTTAGAAAATTGCGTTAAAAGACTAAATGACAGCTTGGGAGTCCCACAGATATTACATACAGAGATGGGACTTAGACCTAGGTTTCCCTGACCCTAAAGCCAGCTCTCTATCTACTATACCACATTGCATCTTAGAGTCAGATGTAACTAAGTATAAGTAAGACATAATTAACTATAAGATTTCTGCCACAGAAAGTCATTAAAACATTTTAGGATGGTTATAATTTGCCTCCCTAAATCTTCTCTTTTCCAAGAAAAATATACCCAATTCATTAAACCATTTATTATACAATGGTATTGGTATCTAGACCATTCACTAAACCTCCTCTGAAGATTCACTAGTTTGTCACTATTTCTATTAAAATGCAATGTCCAGAATATAAACAAGATTTCAGATATGGTCTAAGAGAGTATAGTAGGATTATTCCCATTTTTATTTGGATAATATACTACTAATGCAACCTAAGACTGCTTCTTTGGAAGCCAGATCACATTGCTCCAGGACTAGATGTTATAATAACATGCTCTTACTAATCTAGCTCTAATATTCCTTTGTTATTGTAATTTTTATTAATAGGTTGGTGAGAAGTTTCGTGCCCGTTCTTTGAAATTCCCTGGCCTTATATCAGGTTGCACTATGGATTGGTTTAGTCGCTGGCCTAGGGAGGCTTTGGTTGCTGTAGCCTCCTATTTCCTTTTGGAATATAATATTGTCTGTTCTCATGAAACTAAAAAACAAGTTGTAGAAACAATGGGTCTTTTTCATGATATGGTTTCAGAAGGCTGCGAGAACTACTTCCAAAGGTAACATTTATGCAAATATGATGGTTAACAGAATCATGAAAAAATATATTGCCACTTAAAAGGAATAGTCTATTTAGTAATATAATATACATTCCCATAAATTATACTTATTATTGATTGAAGACTGATTCCTAGCAGTATTGAAATTTTCTCTTTGATTTTCTAATGACAATAGATTAACAACATAAGATAATTAAATAGGTTTTTTTAAGTAACTATGTTGGCCCCCAAATAACAAATGCCTAATGAATCATTTTATTTTATTTAAATTTCTTTTGAAAATTTGCAAATTGATCATGTTTATTTTTTAAAATGTCTTATTTATTTTTCTCTAAGAAATTCATTTATTTTTTACATTGTCGTATGTTTGGAGGAAATTTTAATTTTGTTTTCACTCTTTAATCAGATAATTATTTCATGTCAAGTACTTAATAAAATAAAATGCCAATTGACTGGTACAAACTCACATTCCCTAAGTGTTAGAAAATGCTAATATGTATATCTCAGCTCTTCAAAAAATATAACTCATTTCCCCAATTGATAAATAGTCAAAGGATATGAATAGGCAGTTCTCAGATGAAGAAATTAAAGCCATCTATAGTCATATGAAAAAAAATGCTCTAAATCACTATTGATTAGAGAAACACAAATCAAAACACCTCTGAGGTAGCACATCACACCTATCAGATTGTCCAACATGACAAAACAGGAAAATGATAAATATTGGAGAAGATGTGGCAAAATTGGAACACTAATGCATTGTTGGTGGAGTTGTGAAATTTTGGAGAGTAATTTGGAACTGCGCCCAAAGGGCAATAAACTGTGCGTATCCTTTGACCCAGCAATACCACTTCTAGAGCTATATCCCAAAGAGATCATACAATTGGGAAAAGGACCCACATGTACAAAAATATTTTTGTGGTGGCAAAGAATTGGAAATTGAGGGGATACCCATCAGTTTGGGAATCGCTGAACAAATTGTGGTATATGAATATAATGGAATACTATTGTGTATAAGAAATGATGAGCAAGCAGATTTTAGAAAAACCTGGAAAGACTTGTATGGACTGATGCTGAGTTAAGTGAGCAGAACCAGGAGAACTTTGTACATAGTAACAGCCACGCTGTGCGATGACTAACATTGATAGACTTTGCCTTTCTAAGCAGTGCAGGGATCTAAGACATCTCCAAAGGTCTCATGATGGAAAATACTATCCACATCCAAAAAAAGAACTATGTAGTTTGAATGCAAATCAAAGCATATTATTTGCTATTTTTTCTTCTGTTTTGTTTTGTTTCCTCTTTCTGGTGGTTCCTTGTATTGGTTCTAATTCTTCCTTACAACATGACTAATGTTAAAATATGTTTAACAGGAATGTATATGTATAGCCTATATCAGATTTTGTACAGTCTTGGGGAGGGAGGGGGAGAAAAATTTAAAACTTAACAGCTTATGGAAGTGATTGTTGATAAATCAAAATAAATAAATTCATAAAAAAAGAAAAAATATAACTGATTGAGAAAGTAGTATGGAATATACAAGACTAACAAATATGGGTGCTGATTCAAAAGCTAAAACTGCCACACAAGTTATTTAATCCATATCACTAATAATAGCTAGATAGTACTTATGTAATGCCTTAAGGTTTATAAAGCTCTTTGGTACTTTAAGTGTGTTATCTCATTTTATCTAGCCAGTGATACATTAACATTAACATATATTAACATATATTCTTAATAAATTATTTTAAAAATCTATTCTGTCCTTCAAAAACTCTATATATAAAGATTTTTCATCCTCTTGAGTAACTCACTGTATCTTTTTTGATCCATTGGAGACACTTGGGGTCCAAAAACCCATGTTCTACCTTCAATTCCACCTTTTACCTCAGACTCTGGGAGAGCCACTAAACCCATATGTCTCAGCTTCCTTATTTGTGAAATTAAATGAGAATACATTCCCTACTTACCTCCCAAGGGTGTACTGAGATTTAAATGAAATGATAGATATGAAATATTCTGTAATTTGAAAGTACTCTGTGAATGTCAGCTATTATGATTATTTTTTATATTCACAAAAATTCTAATGCAATGTTCTTAAACTCTAAAACTGAAAAGCATTATGTAAAAGGTGGACTAATTTTACAGAGTTCTGTTTTTTTAACTGGAATTTCTTCTCTATGTCAGAAAACTTTTTTTTTTTGGTTAATAAATTTCATTATATTTAGTTATAGAATTACTATAGGACACCAGTGGCTGACTAGTTCAATTGATTAAAAGCTCATGTAAATGAGATCAAGATCAAAGGATTAATCTCTTTTAAAAAAAAAGGCTACTTCTGGCTCATGGCCACAGTCTACAGCCCTAGATCTGACTTTGTGTACCACTTATTTCCAAAAAGATCTTGAGTGAGAATATGTGGACCACTTAGAGTGAAAGAGAGTACTAGAAGGGCCATTTATTCTAGAACTCAAGGTCACAATTAGAGGATTAAGAACTATGTTACCTTTTCTTTTTTTTCTTTTTTTATTAATTTATTTTGATTTATCAATAATCACTTCCATATGTTATTGAGTTTAAAATTTTTCTCCCCCTTCCTCCTCACCACCCTCCCCAAGACGGCACATAATCTGATCCAGGCTATACATTTACATTCATATTAAACATATTTTCCCATTAGTGATGTTGTAAGTAGAAATTAAAACCAATAGGAGGAATGATCAGAAAGAGAAAACAAAACTCAACAGAACAGAAAAAAATTAGCAATTCAGCTTCCATAGTTCTTTCTTTGGGTGTGGATAGCATTTTCCATCACAAGGCCTCTGGAGATGTCTTAGATCCTTGTATTGCCAGGAAGGGTTAAGTTTACCAATATTAGTCATCATGCAATGTGGCTGTTATTGTGTACAACATTTTCTTGGTTCTGCTCACTTCATTCAGCATCAGACCATACAATTCTTTCCAGGTTTTTCTGAAGTCAGCCTGATCATCATTTCTTATAGCACAATAGTATTCCATCACATTCATATACCACAACTTGCTCAGCCATTCCCCAATTGATGGGCATCCTCTCAATTTCCAGTTCTTTGCCACCACAAAAAGAGCTGCTATGAATATTTTTGTACATGTAGGTCCTTTTCCGGTTTGTGTGATCTCTTTGGGATATAGCCCTAGAAGTGCTATTGCTGGGTCAAAGGGTATGCACATTTTTATAGCCCTTTGGGCATAGTTCCAAATTGCTATCCAAAATGCTTGGATCATTTCACAACTCCACCAACAATGCATTAGTGTTTCACTTTTCCCGCATCTTCTCCAATTTTCATCATTTTCCTGTTTTGTCATGTTGGCCATTCTGATAGGTGTGATATGGTACCTCAGAGTTGTTTTGATTTGCATTTCTCTAATCAACAGTGATTTAGAGCATTTTTTCATGGCTTTAATTTCTTCATCTGAGAACTGTCTGTTCATATCCTTTGACCATTTATCAATTGGGGAATGGATTGTATTCTTATAAATTTGACTTAATTCTCTATATATTTTAGAAATGAGGCCCTTATCAGAGAGACTGAAGAACTATGTTACCTTTTCAACAATAGGACAAGAATGTCTTAATGGCAGTCAGTATAATACAACTTAATAGAATCTCTGACATTTTCCAAAGGATGAATTTTTCCTCAATAATAATGAATGCGTTTTTACAGAAAAAAACACCCTAGAAAATCATTCACTAATTTTTTAAAAATATAATTATTTCCTTTTGTTGTTGATGGTGGTGCCCAATTTTTTTAATGCATCCTTTTTGTTTTAATATGGTTAAGGACTTCATGAGCTAAAAGTGCCTTTAACCTCTCTAGACTCTCAGGGGGCCTGGGGCTACCTAGCACAAAACTTTCTCCTTTACTGGAGAAATTATTCAAAAAGTGTATTCTGCTGCCAGTGGATCAATGGCATCCCCTTTATACAGAGAAGAATAACACTTTTATTTCACCATGGAAATAGCGATGGGTTCTCCTTGTGTGTCTAGGTCATTGATATTTGTACCAACTCAGTGCTGAGGAAATCTGTGATCTCAGGAAGCTTGGCCCTCTTCTTGTTATGGATGTTTTCAAAGGAGCAGAACAGAAGCATGTGATGACCAATGATAAGCTATACCTCAGACATTCAGGGAGAAGGATGTATTGATTTTTTTATGGTTTAAAGCAGGGGTTCTCAAAGTTTTTGGACTCAGGACCCCTTTAGGCTCTTAAAAATGATTGAGAACTTTCCCCAAAGAACTGTTCTTTATGTTTGTCATATCTATAGATATTTATTATATTAGAAATAAAACAAGTTTTACTATTATTATGAAGATAGTTTTGACTTCAGGAACACTGAATCATGTTTTGAGGACCTACTGGCCTAAAGGATTATTGAGGATCAGCAGACAAAATAATCTGCCACAAATGGAAAAAAAAAACTGAAAACAAGAAATAATAATAAACTGATCAGGGGGCTAAAAGCATCATTTTTGGTGTTCAATGTCTCTTCACTCTTATGGTGTTGAATAATGATAGAATAAAATGAATGGTAATAATGATGATAATGATGTATCAAAAATGTGTAGAAAGTTCACACTAAAGTGATAGACACAAATATAATGTTATTTGTTTTACTTTATAGGTATAGACGAAGAGCACATGTGACTCCCAAATCTTATCTCTCTTTTGTAAATGGCTATAAAAATATCTATGCTGAAAAGTTGAAATACATTAATGAACAAGCTGAACGAATGAACATAGGTAAGAACATTAGTTTGTTTAGAGAAAAGTCCACACTCTTTGGGTGAAGTTGTGGGTGAAAATCCCTTGTGTATCAGGATGGGATTCATATTCTTTTTTGAAAATTTTATTTTTAATTTTTAGTTTTCAACATTCACTTCCATAAGATTTTGAGTTCCAAATTTTATCCCCATTTCTCCCCTCACCCCACCCCAAGACGGCATGTGATTTGTTATAGGCGCTACATATACATTCATATTGAACCTATTTTCACATTAGTCATATTATAAAGAAGAATTAGAACCAATGGGAGAAATCAAAAGAACAAGAAACAAACAAAAAAAGAGAACAAATAATATGCTTTGATCTACATTCAGACTATATAGTTCTTTTTCTGGACGTGGACAACATTTTCCATCATGAGTCCTTTGGAGTTGTCTTGGATCCTTCCATTGCTAAGAAGAGATAAATCTATGAAATTTAGCCATCACACTCTGTGGCTATTCCTACATACAATGTTCTCCTGGTTCTGCTCACTTCACTCAGCATCAGTCCCTACAAGTCTTTCCAGTTTTTTCTGAAGTCTGCCTGCTCATCATTTCTTATAGTACAATAGTATTCCATTGCATTCATATACCACAATTTGTTCAGCCATTCCCAAACTGATAGGCATTCCCTCAGTTTCCAATCCTTTGCCACCACAAAAAGAGCTGCTAGAAATATCTTTGTATATGTGGGTCCTTTCCCCATTTGTATGATCTCCTTGGATACAGACCTAGAAGTGCTATTGCTGGGTCAAAAGGTATGCACAGTTTTATAGTCCTTTGGGTGTGGGAAAGGAGGGGGAGAAAAATTTAAAACTCAAAAATGTATGGAACTGATTGTTGAAAACTGAAAATAAATTAATTAAAAATTTTTTTGAAAATCAAGTAAGAGAAGTAGGGGAAAAACTGGGAAGAGAAATTAAAGTGATGTGAGAAAATAATGAAAAATGAGCTTGCTAAAGGAGACCCAAAAAATTCTGAAGAAAATAACACCTTAAAATAGACTAGAACAAATGGCAAAAGAGGTCCAAAAAGCCAATGAGGAGAATGCTTTAAAAAGCAAAATTGGCAAAATGGAAAAGGGGGTCCAAAAGCTCACTGAAGAAAATAATTCCTTAAAAATTAGAATGGAACAAATAGAAACTAATGACTGTATGAGAAATCAAGAAATTATGAAACAAAAATCAAAAGAATGAAAAATAGAAGACAGTGTGAACTATCTCACTGGAAAAACAACTGACCTGGAAAATAGATCTAGGAGAGATAATTTAAAAATTATTGAACTACCTGAAACCCATGATCAAAATCAGAGCCTGGACATTATCTTTCAAGAAATTATCAAGGAAAAGTGCCCTAATCTTCTAGAACCAGAGGGTAAAATAGAAATTGAAAGAATCCACTGATCACCTTCTGTAAGAGATCCCAAAAGGAAAACTCCTAGGAATATCATAGCCAAATTCCAGAGTTCCCAGTTCAAGGAGAAAATATTGTAAACAGCCACAAAGAAACAATTCAAGTATTGTGGTAACACAATCAGGATAACACAAGATTTAGCAGCTTCTACATTAAGGGATCAGAGGGCTTGGAATATGACATTCCAGAGGTCAAAGGAACTAGAATCACCCACCCAGCAAAGCCAAGTGTAATCAATGAGGAGAAAAAAAAATGACATTCAATGACATAGAGGAATTTAATGCATTCTTGAGAAAAAATCAGAGCTAAATAGGAAATTTGACTTTCAAATACAAGACTCAAGAGAAGCATGAAAAGGTAAACAGTTAAGAGAAATCATAAGAGACTTATTAAAGTTGAACTGTTTATATACCTACATGGAAAGATGATATTTGTAACTTATGAGACTTTTCTCATTATCAGGATAGTTGGAGGGAATATATATATAGACAGAACACACAGGGTGAGTTGAATATGAAGGAATGATATCTAAAAAGTAAAATTAAGGGGTGAGAGAGAATTGTACTGGGAGAAGGAGAAAGGGAGAAGTAGAACAAGGTAAATTATCTCACATAAAAGAGGCAAGAAAAAGCTTTTACAGTGGAGGGGAAGAGGGGGGAGGTGAGAGGGAATGAGTGAACCTTACTCTCTTCTGAATTGGCTTAAGGAGGGAATAACATACACACTTAATTGGGTATAGGAATCTATCTCACCCTACAGGAAAGTAGGGAGGGGAAAGGGATGAGAGGAGAGTGAGAGAAGGGAGGGCAGATTGGGGGAGGGGACAATCAGAAGCAAACACTTTTGAGAAGAGACGAGGTGAAAGCAGAGAATAGAGTAAATGGTGGCGGGATAGGATGGAAGGAAATATAGTTAGTCTTTCACAATATGACAATTATGGAAGTGTTTTGCATGACCACACATGCATAACCTATATTGAATTTCTTGCCTTCTCAATTAGGGTGGGTGGGGAGGGAGGAAGGGAAGGAATCTGGAACTCAAAAGTTTTTAAAAATGAATGTTAAAAGTTGTTTTTTACATGTAACTGGGAAATAAGATACAGATGCAGTAAGGTATAGAAATCTATCTTACCCTACAGGAAAATAGAAAGGGGGATGATAGAAGGGAGGATAGACTACTTTTGAGGAGGGACAGGGTGAAAGGAGAGGGAGAGAATAGAATGAATGAGGGTAGGGGGAATACAATGGAGGGAAATATAGGTAGCAATAGTAACTGTGAAAAAAAATTTTTTGAAGCAAGTTTCTCAGATAAAGACCTCATTTTTCTAACATATAGAGAATTGTTTCAAATTTATAAAAATAAGAGTCATTCCCCAATTGATAAATGATCAAAAGATGTAATCAGTTTTTCATATGAAATAATTAAAGCTATCTATAACCATATGAAAAAATATTCTATCTCACTATTGATTGGAGAAATGCAAGTTAAAACAGTTCTGAGGTACTACTTCATACCTATTAGATTAGATAATGGGACTGAAAAGGTAAATGACAAATGTTGGAGGGGATGTGGGAAAAATAAGACATTATTGTAGAGTTGTTGGAGTTGTGAATTGATTAAATCATTCAATAGAGCAATTTGGAACTATGCCCAAAGGGCTATAAAACCATGCATACCCTTTGACATAGCAGTACCACTACTAGGTCTGTATCCCAAAAGATATTAAAAAAAAAAACAAAAAGGAAAAGGCTCTATATGTACAAAAATATTTATATCAGATCTTTTTCTGGGGGTAAAGAATTAGAAATTGAGGTGATGCACATCAATTGGGGAATGGATGAATAAGTTGTGGTATGTAATTATGATGTAATACTATTGTACTGTAAGAAATGATAAGTAGGATGCTCTCAGGAAAACCTAGAAAGACTTACATGGGTTCGTGCAAAGTGAAAGGTACTGGGTACAAACTAACAGCAATATTGTAAGATGATCAGCTGTGAATAACTTAGCTATTCTCAGCAGTACAACGATCTATGACAACTCTGAAGGACTTAGGACGAAAAATACTATCCATCCCCAGAGAAAAAACTGATGGTGTCTGAACACAAACTGAAGCAACTTTTTTTACTTCCTTTATTTTTCTTAAGTTTTTTGTCTGTTTTCTTTCACAACATGACTATTATGAATATGCTTTACATGACTACACATGTATAACATATATGGAATTGCTTGGCTTCTCAATGAAGAAGGTAGTGGGGAGAGAGAAAGGGAGAGAATTTGGAATCCAAAGTTTTAAAAACAAATGTTAAAAAATAAATAAAAATCACTTTTAAAAAAAGAGAAGCATAAAAAGGTAAACAGGAAAGAGAAATCATAAGTGATCCAATAAAGTTAAACTGTTTTCTTTTCTACATGGGAAGATGAGGCTTGTAATTCCTAAGAACTATATTATTATTAGGGCAGTTAGAAGAAGTATAAATAGAAGGCAGAGGTATGAATTGAATATGATGAAATGATATAAAAAATGAAGGGGTGAGAAAGAGGAATGCGCTGGGAAAAAGGTAAAGGGAGGTAAATTATCATCTCACATAAAAGAGGCTCAAAAAAGCTTTTACATTAAAGGGGAAGATGGGGGAGTTGGGGAGAAATGCTTGAACCTTACTCTCATAAGAATTGGCTCAAAGGGGGAATAACATACACACTCATTTGTGTATAGAAATCTATCTTACCCTACAGGAAAATAGAATGGGAGAGGAGGGGAGAATGAAGGAGGAGGTAGTCAGAAGCAAAACACTTTTGAGGATGGATAGGATGAAAGGAGAGAGAATAAGATAAATGGAGGGGGGAGAAATAGAATGGAGGGAAATACAGAGTAATCATAATTGTGAAAAACATTTTTACAGCAAGTTTCTGAAATAAAGCCCTCATTTCTCAAATAAATAGATATCTGAGTCAAATTTATAAAAGTAAGAGCTATTATCCAATTGATAAATGGTCAAAGAATTTTAACAGGTAGTTTTCAGGAATAGCAATGGAAGCTATCAATAATCATATGAAAAAATGCTCTAAATCACTATTGATTAGAGAAAATTAGAATTACAGCAAATTTGAGGTACCACCCCATATCTATCATATTGGCTAATATGATAGAAAAGGGAAATGATAAATGTTAGAGTGATGTGGGAAAATTGGGACACATGTACTGTTGGTGTTATGAACTGATTCAGCCATTCTGGAGGACAGTTTGGAACTATGGCTGTAAAACCATGTATACCTATAATACCCAGCAATACCACTACTAGGTCATATCCCAAATAGATTTTTTTTTAAGGAAAATGACCTGTATGTACAAAACTATTTATGGCAGTTGTTTTTGTGGTGGCAAATAATTTGAAATTGAGGTGATGTCCATCAATTGGGGAATGACTAAACAAGCTGTGTTATATGTTTGTGATGGAATGCTATTGTGCTATAAGAAATGACCAGCAGGATGCTCTTAGATAAATTTAGAAATACTTACATGAACTGATGCAAACTGAAATAAGCAGAACCAGGAGAACATTG